TGTGCGCTGGATTCTTCAGCTGAGAATACCTATCAAATTCCCGAGCAAATCATGTAAAATTTGCATCCTATTCCCAAGTTTCCAATTCATAACTCACTCAAACGTTGCATCAAGCAATGAGAATCAAAAATCTTCAATATCTTGTAACATAATCGAAAACAACGTATAACTGTAAAAGCAGTAATACTTATATAAAATCATTTCACACCCTTCATATAATAAGACAATAACAAAACCTTAGACTATAACATTACAATAACAATACGTAATACAATAATAACAGCAGTATATGTGAAATGATGATAGCGCCATTTCATAACAATCGATCCAAAAAGTTGATCAGAGCATCTAGTATAAAATCCCAAAAATGAATTCAACAAAATTTCTCACATCTTCTCCCACTAAAATGAAAAGACACACTGCAGTAAAACAAATTCAATATCTGTTCTTGCAATTCCACCATCTCCTTATAGTCCTCGATTCACAACCTATCTTTCCAGTGATATATTTCAATTCAAACTCTCCTATGAAGTAAGAGAAACTGACGTGCATTTATGATATAAATAACAATTATATAAGACAATTGAATATAACATTGCACAACACAATAAAAACTGAGAATTATATGACACGAAAACATTCAGTTATTCAATTATAAATTCAATTCAAATCAAAGACATTTCCACGTTCAAACGTTCGGCATTATTTGACTTTTGCAGCCAAAAACATTGCGTGATTATCGGCCATTGATGCGCCTATGATACGATATCCATCCAGATGAGCTGATGTGATCTGTTTCGGCTTCGGGATCACCTTATCGTCGTCGTCATCCTTTATACCGAGGCCCAATTGGCCGCTGGTATCACATCCCCATGAGTAGCCAATTCCTAAATCATTAGCTATCCATTTAACTTGAACCTTCAGCTACCATAATAAATTCAACTTATTTCCAAAAAACAATGAATGTTATGTTTGAAATAAAACACATAATCCACAGCTACACACACAATCAATATTAGGAAACATATTGTTCAAAAACTAACCCTCTTGAGTCCACGCTACTGAACATCCCAATTTCGCCGCAATCCCATCGGCTTTTCCCGGTAAATCAATTTTCTCCAAGTGTGTGTATCTCCAATGTTCCGTGTCATCATTCCCAGTCCACGTTCCAAGTCCCAATGCGTTATCAGTGTTCTTCCCAATTCCATACAGATTACCTAAATCATAAAAAAGCAATCACACCACATCTCAACTGTATCTTCTGTGACCAAAATGTAATCCATCTTCAAAAAAAATTTCTCCAAAATCAAAATTTTTCCATCAAACTTCTCGAATTGCGAGAATACATTGCTGGAAAACTAATGACTTTAATACTACTAATAACTTCGTTCCGTCTAAACGAATAAATAAATGAATCAAATCCAAAACAAACCCTTCTCATCCAGTGCAATCACGTGCTGTACACCACACAATTGAACGATGTTACGGTCACGATACGCAGGTGACACAACTGGTCGCATGATTCTCAACTCCGGACCACTATCACCTAAAAATTAAAACAATTATCAGAAATCAATTTCCATCAAACTCAACACTGCATCATGTATCAAACCAAATTTAATCTAAAATCCGCGATCAACAAACCTGGTTTAGCTTCTGCATCCTGCTCCACTTTTGGTGGTTCTATGCCGAGATGTCCGAAATTATTCAGTCCACAAACGAAAATTCTCCCATCTGCATGGCTTTTCGCTGCTGTCCAATAACCTCCGGCCATAATGTCATCAAATAGCACCAACTGATGCTTTCCCTTATCCAGTACGCTCACTTTCAGCAGATCGCCACTCTCATCAACCATTTGCTGAGCGCGAATATGCGCACAACGCCCCATTCGGCCCAACTGTCCCATTGATCCATCACCAAATGTCAGCAGCTCACCACTGTCGGACAGCATTACCAAATGATTCTCTCCTGCCGCAATCTGAACTGATCATTTTGAAATTATGCTTTAGAAATAATAATATCAATAATACTAATAATCTTAATAATAACAAAAATAGTGACTTCTAGTAGAGCTTGAAATTACAAGCCACTGACGGTACACAAATGAAAATGTATATGAAACCACTATTATTTCTGTGATGATTTGAATCAATCCGACAAGTGATGTGGCTCAAGGAAACATTTCTTTACGCACAACATTCTCACCAATAATGTGTTATGAAAGCCACTAGACAAGCGCAGTCTCTGGACTGGAAACGGCTGCAGTCTTGAATCAAGCATCTGAATGCTGGAATTCACTCACCTTAACGATCACTCTGTATCGATTGCGAACAATTACCACTGGATGAATCTCCATTTCACGCAGCAATGCATGTGATTCAATACATCCCGAGCTGTCCTCAAATCACATGAATTAATAATAACTTATCTGGAGAAGACGTGTAACTCATTGACTTCACAAATGGACATACACACTTCGAAATATTCAGTTTCACTATAGGAACGAATTATCAGATTCAAAATCCATCATCCGAATCGAAAACTCTTAATTTTCAGAACACAAAGACTTCAAATACCTTACCCTAATATTGCCCCACGCAATCACACTTCCTTTATCAGTAAGTCCAGCCGAGAAACTTGCACCTGCCGTTAACATAATCAACTGAAATGAAGAGATTCTTTCAAGTTGGCTCGAAATCCAGTCATTTTATGGAGCGAAATCAACAAAGAACAACTTCCGAATCATACCTTTCCTAAACGTCGAATCTCATCGCTGAAATCGATCCGCGTCAAACGATCAGTTGAACCTTCGGCTTCAACGCCTTCTGCTGGAACTGTACCCTTTTCGTTGATTCCACATGAATACACCGTCCCATCTTCTAATAGTACCAATGAATGCACTCCACCTGCTACTACCTTAACTTGCATTTCACATCGATAACAGTCACTGAATGCCAATCTTCAGAGCCATATACTAACAAAAAGTTAGATTTTACCAAGTAACTTCCACTAAATTTGAAGAATCATTATTTATTTGACAAGGCCGATATTTTTAATCACTACTACGCTATCTCGGCACAGATCTACGATCTACGTTATTGGAAATACATTGCTGACATCGTTTTACATTAGTATTATTACTCAGAATTGATTATAATTCAACTCAGTTTACATCCACTATACTTCATGTCATTAAACATATATCTTACCTGAACAATCTTCTTATCAACTGGAAGCGTGTCTATCGCTCTCGGTTTCTTGGTCGTTGTACGTCCAGGATGACCCAATTGCTCGCCTTCGCCACAACTTAGCACCCGGTCGCCCAATTCTTTCGGTAGAAAGCTTTCAATGAACAATCGAAACTTTTTACGCCCCCTTCTTACAGGTGCCTTCTGAGCTAAAACATTTCCTGATGTAAACGCTGATTAAAAGACCATGGTGTTAAAAAAAGGACAGCATATTGTCTCATCACATGCCATATCATAATAATACTGATACTAAATACAACAACGATACACTGAATCATACCATAATGACTCGATTACGCTCCTAATGAAGAGTACAATTTAATACCATCCATAGTGACATAATCCATCGCTTACTGATTCTATACAGATAAAGGTTTTTATTCGCTGATATCTCAATACGCTATCACAGCAACTTAATCAAATTCACAACTGATTTCTAGTCAGTAAAAGCAAAGACTGAGAACAAAAAAATGGGATGCGGCAAAAAACAACAAGTTGAATTGGCGGCAGACAAGTGGACGAACAAGTAGCTTCGATCAAAATCGAGAAAATGGGAGATTGTACCGTTGATTGAACAGTCAGAATCAGAATTAAACCTATCAAAAGCTACTCGAATCAGCTAGCAGATAAATGAATAAACACTCCATCCATTTAGTGCTATTCTCATTACATCAGTATTATTATCATCATCACTATTGTGACCATCATTCAGTTAAACATATCAGCAGCATATCATTAACATACCATCCTTCGCAGCTGTGGCTGCAGTGGCAGCTTTTCTAATGACACTATTGCCCACTCGTTCGCTTTTGGTCGGTGGTACTTCTTCGACCGTCTCAGCCACGGGCTCAACTTTCCGTTTCCGGCCTCGTCCCACCTTTTTGGTCTCCGGCTCTTGCTTCGCAGTGGTTGTGCCAGCATCTCCGTCATCATTCGGTGAAGCCTAAAATATGTTCGGTAAAATAATAATAGGAAAACATCGGACATAAACTTCATAACTTACTATTATTGTGATTAGACCAGATATGCGATAAACAATAGGGAAAGCAAAAATAACTTGTGAGAAAGCAATGGAAGCAATCAGTTGCGATAAATACGCATATAAAAACGAGGTGAAAATATAAAAAAAAGATTGAAAGAAACAAATCAGAATATTAACCGCAGTAACATCATTCGTCGAAACTGCATTCGATTTGTTGGCTGTGGTTGTGGTTGCAGACGAGGTTGCTGCGGTAGCTTTTTGACTCCTTGCAGCCCGCCTTGACGGCGCAGTTCCTGATTCGTTCACAGCCCGAACTGCCCGTTTCTTGACCTCTTTCTCCTCGACTGCCTCTTGCTCTCGCGGCTGATCTTCCACTGCGTCGTCCATTCGTTCCACTTCAGATGCCTCACCCACTTGCGAAGCTGAACCGTTCTGAGCAATCTGAGAATCACTCGGACCATTCACCTTGGCAGCCTTTTTCGGCCTACCAGCCTTGGCTTTGGTGGCCGTTTTAGGCGACGTTTTGACTGGTTGAGTGGTCTTTCTGGCCACTTTCCTGGGGGCCATGTTCTCCGTTGCTTATTTCTCGTCTTCGAACTGCAACCGAAAGATAGACCCGCAAACGATCCCAGTTATCTCGTTCAGGTAATCCTGATCTTCAGACCTGCGGATCCAATGGCCTGATCTTCCTGATGGATCGCTAAACACCCGTAAATACCCTCGAATTGATCGAATCGCAGATAACGTCAATCAAATACCGATACTTATGCACTGAAAATAGCAAAAATGATAGAAATTTTTCAGAGACTATGACTAGTGTCATGCTAACGCAATCACAGCCTTAACAAGCCAGTTATCATTTAAAAATAGATCGAACAGACAGAAATAAGAATCTTTTGAATATATGTTCACATAAACCCTGCGTACAATCCTACTTCCAATTAAAGCTTCTCGAATTTTACAATATTTCAGTATTCCTTACTGCTGCTCATAATAAGGAATTCCAAAAAAATAATGTAAATAATTCAATAAAAAGATTCAACCAGCTAAAAATTAGTCTGAAATGAAGGCAAATCGAAAGAATTTGCTAATTTTTTCGCAACGTTAGACGTTCTCAAATACCAAATCAAATTTATACTCGTTTCCAAAGTTGCCAAAACGGTTCCAAACGTATCACCACTGTAAAATTTCATGCTAACGGCGCTCCTCATAATCACAATAGTAACGATTCAACAAAATGTTGAAAAACTTTATCAGTTACATCTCTTTCTAAAAACTTTATTACAAGTAGCAGTAGCTTATAAACTTTATAAGTAACATTTAAAATCATGGACTGATTGTTTTCCAACATAAAGTAGCGATAACAATCAACAACACTAGTAATAACACACTCAAACACTGTTCAATGACCTCACATCAACATTATGAATGCTCAGCTTTTACCTTTTGCCTATCATACTACATCAAACATAATATCACACACACAAACACATACACAACACATATGCTTAGTCCTTAATAACAGCAATATAAAGGAAATGAATCAAAGGATAACGAAACATATCTATAAACAATCAACCTTATAATATATTCACAATCAGTTCACTCAATCATATATATTCGCACAATGTTCTTCATATTCAATGATATGTTTCCTATCATGCATTATTCCCTTAACAGAATAACTATCGTTCTCCTCTGCAGTGTTATTATTAATGCGAGAGATAACATCAACTCAACTACGATCATCTATGGTGATTGTGAATGTCGATGATTTATTCCATTTGCAATTCATCTCGTACAATCGTTTAGAGCTTACGATTAGAGGAGAACATATGAGAACGAAAAAATAGAAGTTTAAGCATGAGTATAGCGGAGGACGTGTACCATGAGTATACATGTGGACTTGATAGATGCTTTCTGATGCGCGTTCCCTACCTATCTCGTCTCCTCTCGTGCTCTTCATCAAAAAATCATCGAGCCGAAACGAACCAATCTAATGAAATACATCGATATATGAACAGATATTTTACGATGTGCTCTTTAGTAACGTCCATCAACACGTTCGGTTCATTTCCACATTTCCCGTTCGTTCACTCGTTTTTACTCTCATAATTATGAACCAATCAATTAAAAGTGTAATCATTTTATCGTGTCAGCATCGCGTTCTTCCCGTTTCTTTTCTTTTCTGCCAAGTTTGTGCCTTATTCACACAAAGATATAATTGGAAGAAGCTGAATCTGGTCTGAGTTGAGCCGACAGCCTTTAATTCAGATATGCTGATTGTATAAGTGTTTGTTCGGCCGAAATCCATCTGGTATATGAACATTCGAAAGCTGTCTCATCATCAACAAAATACATAGCGCTTCTCATGTTCGTGAATAATCTACAAAGGATACGTTCATTCAAGCGATCCATCCGCACATCACTGACAGTATCATTCATTTCAGATCTTCGGACAAAAGCGAAGAGCAATAATGGACGATGACCAGCGTAGTCACGCAATATTCGCGGTGTTTTTGGCTGTTCTCATGGTCACTACCGGATCGTTGAACACAATTGCAGCCAAGTGAGAAAGCATCAGATTGTCGTTTAAGAAGAGCACAGATCATATCGTTCAAATGTCCCATCAAAATCTCCTAACAAAATGTCTATTGATGAAAAATCGAATTTCTTTTGCAGATGGGCCGATTCAATCAAAGTCGACGGCAAACTCTTCAATCATCCATTCGTCCAGGTGATCGCTGGATTTCTTCCGAAAGCAAAAAAACCATCTTAATCTAAGTCGTATCACAACAACCCAGAATTTATAAATTCAGATTCAACATCACATGCAATGCCTTCCAAATAACATCCAGATATTACAAGAATTTGCATCAGCATTTACCGTATGTCTATTGAAAAAATGGAAAATAAAAGCAATAATAACTTCATTCTAAATAATTTATCGGCTTCATTTAACTGAAATCTTATTCACTGTAACCACAAAACCGTATCATCAAACCCTCAAACTTATCAATTCATCATATCACCGATATGATGTCCAAGTTTCGGAAAATCAACAAACCTTATTATCAAACCACCAACTATCGAAGTTATCCCATCCTAAGAAGTCCAAATTTTGGATTCAAACGAAAAAAAATTTCATCACACATCTGAATTCCATCTGAACGAAGTATTACTTAGCAATCTGTAAACCTTTCTAATTATGGTAGATCAGTCAACCTGTCCCAAACTTCGCAGGCTATAAATCAACCTCACTTGGTCTGTTCTATTCGTGATAATTCCAGATTTCAACTGACCCTCCCGTGGTACCGCTTTAATCAGCTGCCACCCTGAAAAATAAGTACCACAATTTTAGGCCATATGCATGTTCATCGGAGAATTCTCTTGCTTGGCCGTCTACTTTATCGTTTTCTGGATACGACGTAGGAACTGGCGTAAACGAGAGCTGCTCGGAGCGGAAGGTCGCGTGATGGAATTGGACGTTCGAGGGGAGCCGACCCTTCCCGATTTTAACGTATTTCTGTTCGCGGCACCAGCTTGTTGTGACATTATCGGCACTTCATTAATGTACATTGGCTTGAATTTGACACAAGCCTCGTCCTATCAAATGCTCAGAGGTAACACGCTAAACGTGCAGAAAACATGCCATTTTATAGAAATATGTAATAATACCCGTCTCGTTTTTCACGACACTATGGACAGCAACTTCAATTCCCCGTCATTTTCCACTGAAAATTTGCGATGAGAATTTGAAAAACCCTCTGAAAAATCAAACGACTATTGATCATTCTATGTATACATCATTGGTGATGGAAAAAAATTTTCTGCCTTTCAATCAGACTTTAGAATTGCGATATCAGCGATGAGAATCAGTTCGCTTTGTTGTATAGATATGACTCATTTTCCATACTCATTGGGAAAGAAATGGTTCAGCATTTCGATGAGTAACACGTATCGTTCCGGACAAAAATATATTCATGATGATAATACCTTATTGTTAGTAACCATAAAGGTAGTATCTTGATAGTAACAATAATAATAATGGTCATAATCGTAATAATAATGGCAGAAACAGTAACAATAATAATATATAACATGTAAGAGTGATCTCCTTAGTGATCAC